CTGCACCTGTGCTCTGCCTGGCTCCCTCTGTGCCAGTCCAGCTCTTCCCCTTCTGGAACCCCACACGGACACCTTCACGAGGGTGAAGAGTCACTGTGGCTTATCCGGGCGACCATGCAGAGTGATGACCACAGAGACACAGTGCTCACGACACCTATGAGTTGTTTCACGATTCTGAACTGGTTCGGAGCTTGCCCTGAAGCAATCAACCCAGACACGGATCCAGAGGCGGCCCCTGCACCCCGAGGTCCACGCGCTGGTCCACACAGCAAGCTGAGGGGTCCCGCCAGCCTCAGGCCTTCTGTCTGAATCATGGAAACGACCTCCAAGTCCCGGCGGCCTCCCCAGCCCGTCCCAGGAGGCTTCCAGAGCCCGGAGAAGGCAGAGCAAAGGCCCCGCGAGAGCGGGCGGTCCCTCGGGTGTCGGTGCGACTGGGCTTCCTGGGGAAATGCTCGGGAGTCTGGCGAGGGGCTGGCTCCTCCCCTAGAAAAGTCAGGCCTCGTGCACTCGCCTTCCACTTTAGAGGGTCAGAGCCCGAGGCTCACACGTGGCCCCGTGGTCTCGGCACGCCCCTGCCCCCCAGCGCTACAACCGCCCGCGCCCCCGCGCCGTCCGCCGGAGCCCTCCTCCCCGGAGAGGCCCGTGGACGCCCTCGCCCCTGCCTAGGGCCCAGGGCCCAGGGCCCCGCGGAGGGCTGGCACTAGCACAAGAACCAGCATCTAATTTCTTGTCCACACTGGGGCACATCTGAGGCAAAAGGGGCTCTACAAGCCACGCAAACAGGCATGCACAGGCGTTGTCCTGGCAACAGGGACATCCTGTCGCCCCCTCGGCAGCTCTGACAACTTCCTGAGGAAGGGGTCACACCTCTCCTTTCCCTGGGACCTCCCGAAGCTTTGCGATCAGAGGCCACACACACACGAACTGCCTTTTAGAGGACAACAGGCCGACGGGTCTACCTGGCCAGCGGGGTGACCAGCAGTCGCTGGGGGCACAGGAGCAGCCCTTCAGGCCCATTCTGGGCCGGGTGAGTCTCCCCGGGCCTCAGTGCAGTGTTCTGACATTAACTGAGCTTGGTAAATACCTGACTGTTTTCTGCGCCAGGCGCTAGGGAAAATACACGGCCACGACAAAATGTTCCCGCACAGCCGCCACGACACTGAAGGTCCTTGGCGAGTTGGCGTCCTTCGCGCCGAGCCGGTGCCCTGCCCACACCACGAGCCTGGGTCTCTCTCCACAGCCCCACTGCCAACCGCACTGGGCAGACGGGGCTTGCGATCTGCTTGGCGACCAGAGAAGCAAACGACAAAGCCTCATTATCTCATCAACTACCTACTGCAGAAATTTAAAATGAGGGCCTGAGGGCGACCCACAGAGTACACGTGAGCTACACTTTCAGGGGGGCTGAAGAATGGTTTGGGGATGCCTCAGAGAGTATGGCATTCTCTGTGGAATTGAAGCCAGAGTATACTTTAAAAGGGGGGAGCCCTAAATTGCAGAAGACAGAGCGAGCGCCCCATCGCCCAAAGTCACTCTGGAGTGACCCTAGCAGTCCCTGCTGCACAGCGCCCAGGCGTCTTGCAGCTGACGGCCCTGACGGCTGGTCTCTTGGGCAGCAAACCCTCCTCAGAGACCTGCGGGAGGGAGCCCGTCAGGGGCAGCTCTGGTGGGTGCCCGGGGCTCCCGAGCCGGGGTCGGGCGAGGGAGATCTCACGTGGCTGAGGAGTGTAAGAGGTCTTGGCAAAGGAGCACCCACAAACACTGTCGTCACCTTTCAGGACAAGCGCTTCCAACAGAGCAGTCTGCGCCGCACGCCCGAGGGCCCGAGCCCACCCTGACGCCGACCCTCGGTGAGGACCCCGCACCCGGAGGACCTGTGCCTTTTCACGAGCACGGGCACCGCGCCTGCGTGCTCTGCACAGCGCTTCCTCGCAATTTCTTACGAAGTCTGAGCATTTTCTACCAAAAACCGGGGAAGACTTCCAGCCTTCGGGGCACATTTGATGGGTTCCCAAAGCTGGCTGGGTGCCACACGTGTGCCCAGCTTGTAAAGTTAGGAGGCTCAGGCACCCTCTCGGGCTCGGAAGTAGGACTCAGCCTGGGTCCGGGCTCATCCTGAGATCCCAACCTCTGCCCGGGGCAGACACCCACCACCCCGACGGCGGAGCTCGAGCCACTGCTACGCCCCAGACGGCACCTGGGCCGCCAAGCACCCTCTTCTTCTATCTTGCCCAAGTGGACCTGAAGGCTGACCTAATCTTGCAAATGAGTTTGTTGAAGAAAGCCCGTGGAGACAGGTCGAGCACTCTACCGCCTGATTCAGCTGCCATGAAGGACTCCGGGGGAACGCAAGCCTCAGCAGGAACAGGGCTGGAAGTCCAGGCTGTTCCAGCACCGGCGCCGCGGCCGGCTGACACCCAGGCCCCCGCATCCTCTGGGGTTCTGAACGGAGGGCCCGGGGTGACACATCCCTAAGAGGCGCGCGTCCGGGGCACCCCCGACACGCCCGACCTGTGCAGCCGAGAGCAGGGGGCAAGTTCAAAGTTCCCGCAGGGGCGGTGCACGGCCGGCCGGCCGGCCCGGGGGCGGCCGCGCGCCTCACCCCGCTCCGTGGGCGCAGACACGTGCCTCGCGGAGGTCCCGGAAGAGA